CTCTCACACTGCCACTGCTGAACTCGCATACTGCCACAACTGAACTCTCACACTGCCACGGCTGAACTCGCATACTGCCACAACTGAACTCTCACAGAGCACGCCACAACTGAACAGGTTCAGTTCCACAGTAGCACGCACAGTTGCATGCCCCCACTCCCCCAATAAGACATGACAATGGCAGTAAGCACAGACTCTCAGCTCATTTTTCTTGCCAGTGCTCAGCAAGGGTGTGTTGGAGTCGTACTGTCACATGTGAGTCATGTGAGTACAAGAATGGTCATGATTACCACGACCGAACCCAGGCCAAGAAACCAACCTTTCAGGCTGGTAGTGGCGTTTTGTAAATCGGACCCAAGTACTTGCGAAACTGGACAAGTGGAGTGTTAGATCCATCTCCAGCAACCTCAATCAGCAAAGCTGCCAAACAAAATGATGGGCAGAAGTGCTTGTGCATGATTCCGTTCATACACTTGCTCAAGTCTGCTGCTTTCTTGTTTGAGTCAGCAGTGTAGTCACGGGACACTGCAGTCAGCACCTCAAAGAATGAACAGCAGAAGGTACCACAGAGGACGACGATCGGCTGATTGTTTCTGAGTCTGGACTATAACATCACTATATAGTATAATATACTATATGTAACAATACAAACTAGTTACTAGTTTGATTACTGCAAATTCTAGGATTCTAGAAGGCAAGCGCTGCACCAATTCCATTTCACTTCCATTTTTTCCAAGGCACCAACAAGTCTGCCAGAACCAACTTGAAGTCTGACATCCCCCCCACTTGCGACCTTGGACCTCAATCCATCGCAACTTGCGCGCAACACCTGAGCGGGCTCACCAAGAGCAGACAGAGCCAATCCAGGATGATCAAGGATTTGGGTGATTTTGTCCAGGTTGGTAGCAATCAGGTTGGTCATGAGCAGGGACTTTGTGCAGCACAAGTAGAGGAAATCGGAAGCACTCTCTTGCAAAGCTGGGTAGAACTTCTTGGGTTCACCAATGCGATCCTCTGTGCTTGCAGACTGTCGGGCATTCACTGTCTTGGACAAAAGTTCCTGCAACAGCTTCGAGTCAGAAGAAGCATTGATCGTGCCATGGAGAGCTGTGACAAACTTGTCGACCTCAAGGTCCAAAGCGCTCAAAGACTGTTTGAGACAATTCCGAAGAACTTCCCCATATGCCAATGGAACCATCCTCAGGCGTGTGACTGTAATGCTGCTCAAGCCGGAAACTGCGGCTTTCTTGAACACCTTCTCTGTTTCCACCAACTTTTGCAGCACGTTGAAGCTACCAGGGATGGATGTCAAGGCTTCACCAATCTTGGACACTCTCCCACAGTGTGTTGCCCTCAGGGCTTCTGGCTGATTGGGTGTGTTCTCAATCTCTTCGCCCAAGGTCTTAAGTGACATCGCCTCTGACAGTTGCTCGGCACATGACAAGACAGCATCAGCCGCCTCAATGTAGATGGCACATCTGCAACATGCCTGAAGGTTGACCTTGCCGCTGGCAAACTCAATCTCAGCACTGGGGTCATTTGCATAGGTTGCCATGAAGGCTGGCAAGTCAAATCCCTTTGGTACTTCAAGACGGGAGCCCTTGGGGATGTTCTCGCGATTGATGAAGTCCTGCACATCAGCTGCTGTGTTGGTGCAAATTCCTGTCAAGAACTTTTGGTAGTGGTCGAAAACTGACGTCAAAGAGGACCCTGCCAATCCCGCAATCCATTGTTGGAAATCTTTCAAGGCAAATTCCCGAAGCGAAGGGCCAAGTTCAGAAAGCGCCCATTTCAAGCCAGATGTTTTCAATACTTGGACCTCGTTGTAAGACTCCAAGCACTGCATCAGGTCGGTGATCACTGTGCTGCAAAGATCGCTGAGCTTTGCTGCACAGGAACTCGTTTTCCTGGCCCTCCTTGCATGCTGGTTGGTATGGTTGAATCAAACCAAACTTAACATGTTACATTTACATTTCATTTTTACATATGATGCATCATAACATAACAGCATAACAATTCAATACTTAGCTGGCTGTGGCTGTGGCTGTGTTTTTTTCACAAATCATATTTCTCTCAATAATACAAATTAATTAATTAGAATGAAGCTGAGGATCATCCATTCTACTGCTGCAAACGTGCGCCCGAAAATGTTTGTCATAGATTTCAACACATCGAGAAGCTCATTGTGAATCTCCATGCCCAATACACTCGCAGTGTCAACATTGAGCAAAAGGCGAGGGTTGCTGTCAGCCAACTTCTGAAGGACCTGGATGGTAGCAGTCCAATCTGGAGATTGATTCGCAGCATCCTGCTGTCCAAAAGTTCCAGGACAAAGTACGGTAGCAAGTGCTTGATCTGGATTTGGAATCTTGGCCTTCAAGGCTAGGATCAGACCAGTTTTGAGCCCGTCTGCTAATAGGCGCTGTGTCCCTCGAATAAGTTGAATCTCGGAGGAGTGTGATGACATGAACTTCTCACTTGCAGAAGAGGTCACGATGTTGATCTTGGCTGACAACTCTGACCATTCATTCTGAGACGTCAGCTTGACAGTTCCATCTGCTTGAATCAAATCTTGGGCTGGTGGAACATTCAGCGATGCGGCCAACTTGCTCCTGACGACGGATTTTGTCATGCTTTGGCTGAGAGGCAAACACACAATATACTATATACAATATAATATATAACAATATGAATTTTATGTTCAGGATTCTTACAGGGGCTTCGCATTAAACTTTTTTAGACCTGTGTCTCTTTTGTGTGTTGTTTCTTGTCTGTCTCCATCTACAACTTCAGCCGGCTTTCGTAATATTTGTTAAAAGAGGATTGATAGTCCCTGGGCTCTAGACTCCTTTTCAGCCAAGGCTCGCAGTGTTGAGTCCTGAACGCAAGGTAGCTTCAGCGTGAAATGCAGCTAGTGAATCTTGAACACTCTGCATCAGCCGTACGCCCAAGGGAAATGCAGTCATTGCCTTCAATAGCTTGGCATTCTTGGAAGACAGCACAGTGCGTGCCTTTTCCGCAGCAGAGACTTTGTCTGAAGCACTCTCTTCCTCTTCCACTGCCACGAATTGGCATAGAGTCTTCAAGTGCGCAAGCTCTGAGCAAACAGCATCCACTGAAAGTTGAGAAGACATCCATAGCTGAGATTGGGAGACCGA